AAAATTTATATATATATATGATCTGTCTTACTAGGAATAACCAGAAAAAGGATTGCATCCCTAGAGTTACGTCACACATACCGATGTACCCTTTTAACTAATACCAGTTTTTTACAGCCCTTTTATTTCACAAAGGTATTGTGTGGCTGTGAATGCTAGGAAGGTGGCTTGCACTAAATAGGAAAAGATAATTCTCAGTGGTCATAGGAAACATCCTGTAAATGTCATGTGGAGTTAGAGCACTGCCTTGGTAATATTCGCTAATCCCATTCCACTGGAGTTACCAGAAAAGGCCCAGATGGAATCAGACTTGGGCTGGAGATCAAACTGATCTATAGCTCTCGACTGCGAGATGTCTGCATTAGTAAGCTGTACAGAACGATGATGACAATGGATCTATGAAGTGAAACAGGTGTTGCTAACACCCTAGCATCCTGGAAAAGCAGTTCAGGAGCTGGTACTTCAGCCCAGGCCTAGCTTAGTCCCATGGAAGGAACTACCTGAGGGCATGAATTAGGTGTGCTGCTGGACAACATCCTCCACTTTAGTCTCATCCTAAGAGAATCCAGGTCATACATCCTTTGACACACATCAAACTGCAGTAAGGAGATTCCCTTCAAAAGTACATTCCTGATCAGGTCTAAAATGCTGATGTAGATGCTGACCAAGATGACAGTTCAGATGCAGAAATTCTGATCCCTATTGCAAGCACGTGGCCGCAGACTTGGGAGTTCAGACTGACAGTGAGATTGCCGAGGGTTGCAGAGGATAAAGAAAAAGAATCAGTCTAAAGAAAACTCCAACTGCAACCCAGACAAAAGCTGTTTGACAAGACACTGTCTCTTTGCTGAGTCTTTCACTCTGGCTGCATAAATGCATCTAATAGTCCACAAAAGTGTAAAGTAAAGCAGATAAATATAACCCACATAAAGATTAAAGAGATTAGATTAAACCAACTTGAGACCCACTAATCTGTTTCACTTGGCATTGAAACAAAATAGGAGCATTCAGAACTGCAAGTTATGACATTTATGACTCTAAGTTCTAGCCTGAAAGATGGTAACTGCCAGCTGCAGAACTTCAAATTGTTTAAGCCTCTCAAAATGGGACCACAGTCTCTCGTCTGACTACATTTATGAGACTAGAGAATCATGCACATAAGTGTGGTATTTGAAATTATGGAAGGAGAGTTCTCACTCAGAGCAAAAAATACCACAGAGCTGACAAAAATAGAACTACCTAGCTTCGACTGCAGACTCGACTCCAACACAGGAAAGCTGGCTCAAGTTAGTGCTCTGCCACACACGTCTTCATGAACTTTCCTCCATCTGACTCTTCAGAAGAGCCAACAGCTTTATACACAGGTGTAGTAAGAAGCTACAACTCATTTAATACCTATCACCAGTCATTTCTGAAAACTGTCACTGGAAACACAGTTCTCTGTTGCTTTGAAATGAGGGATGAAATTGTGCTAATAGATTTTCCCAGGAACTCAGAGAACATATTGGGGGGAAATATGCAACCTGAGGAATTGCATCAGAAGCATCAAAAGTAACCAGGAACAGGGTAAGAATCCTCTAGTAGCGCACACAGACAGTTTTGTTCCCATGTGTTTCCTACTACTTGCGGTCAGATACTTAAAATCATAAATGGGTGAAGAAACAGGGATACTCCTAATGTCAAGCGCAAAGCATCCATGCTGAAAGCAGCTTCCCTTACTTTTCCTAAGAGAGCTAAGGATGACTGGGCAGATGTCAACACGCAGTTTTCTGTACCAATCCCAACGGGACTGCATATCCTTTTCTCTACAGAGTGGGACTCCAGCCATCTGTGGCAAGCACAGAGATGAAGAAATAGATCAACATATTGAATCAATGTAAAACATACTTAATATCAAACAAAATGGTTACTGTAATTAAGAAAAAATGGCTTTCATGTGCATTAACAGAAGTGCATGTGGTTTTTATGTTTATGATAGATTCGTAAAAATATGCCTGAAAAGATTATTTTCCCAACTACAAAATAACGTTGCTAGATTTTTTCCTCCTTCTCCTGTTCCAATAGAAAAAGGACCATATAGCTGGTTTTGTGTCTTTCTATCCACGCTGTTGTCACCAAGGGTATTAAGAGGAGTGCACCCCACTTTTGAGAGAATCCTCAGAAGACACAAGCATGGTGGAGGACCACTGCAGAGGAAGAGAGAGAGCACAGCTACCAAAGTAGCACAGTGCAGTCAACAGAAGCTGTGCCATGACCACATCTTGCCCTTTCTTCATTTGTATTTGTGCCTGTTGCCAGACTCCCCGCACACCTCCTTTTATTTCATTTCAAGTACACCTCGATTTCGGGACATGATACATTTTTTTAAAAGGTGCATGTAGTATTCAAAAGCCAAAAGGCATTCCCAACAGATCTTAGCTATTATAAACACGTTAATGTTGCCCAACTTCTGGACTGAACTGCTTCAGAGAGTACATTATGTGCCTTCGCAGAGCTGTGGTGTACCACATAAAATCCTCGGCTGGCAACAGTAGCTGGAGCAAAGTTCAAGTCAAAGCTTTTTTACTCCATCTCTCCACATTCTTACTTCAGGACAAATTACCACTTCTCTGTGTCTCAGTTACTCCACTGAGAAGGCGTGATATAACAGAAAGGAAGGAAGAGACCAAAGCTATTCAGAAGGCTCTTTAGCACCATTAAAAAACTGCAAAAAAGAGCTTGGATGAGTTCATTCCTTAAGCACTCTTCATAATGTTACGCCAAGAAAAGCTGGTTTATTCCAAGTTCACTTGACCTTCATGGGATAAAGAATGTCCCTGGTAGCCTTCTTCTTCAGGTGAACAAGAAATGTGGAAAATGCTAACCCATTTTTGGAAAAAAAAACCCCTCTGAAATGGTTACTGGGACCTCAGAAACAAGAAATGACAAAAACGGCAACAAAGTCACACTCCTCTCCGCCCTGAGTCTTTACCCAGTGCCAAGGATCAAGCTGGATCTTCTGGACACCCACACCACCAGCAGTCAACTACTTAAGCAGAAAGAATCAGAACTACATTTCACATGAACATTCTAAAACACTGATTTGAACTTGGACTGGATTCAGATTGTAATCTCGTATCATTTGCAATTATTGCAGCCTAAGGTAACATTCAGAGGACAAACCAGTTTGCCATGAACACTTGCTGTACGGTATTTATATATGCACTATTGCAGTTACTTAATTTAACAGAAATATAAACATATGCTAATTAGAGAGAAAAGAACATCTGTGTTGGTGCTTCAGCTGAGCTGAATAAAAATATTTCAGAAAGCAAATATTAGACCATTTTTATGCCATCAGACATATCGGACAACTGAAATAGAAAAATGGGAAGTAAATATCTGCACTAATGAATAACAAAAAGGGAATTATGCAATTAGAATGAAAAATAATCCCTTAGTTAAAAATTCTCCTAACTGACATTATAAACTTTTGTTACCAAGGATAAAATGACTTAATCTTCTAGCAGTAACTGCAGTTTCAAATATAAACAAGGTTGTTATAGGTCCCAGGAGGCATTTTGCAATTCAAGAGACAGCTATTACCATAGTGGGACAAATTTCTCCCCTGCACAGCCTAAAGTCAGTAACATTATAGTTCAAAAGAACTAGTCCCAAGTTTTTGAAATTTAGATTGAGGCTGCTATTTATACACCAGAGGATGTATTTCTGATTTTTTTAAAAAAGTACTGTTGTCACCAGAGCAACAAGCAGCACCTCTACAGAACTCTCGCAAACACTCCAGGTGTTATTAAGCTCATCACTGGTTGCTTGGAACAAAGGTGAATAATGCAGTGCGATACCTGCATAAGGTGTGTCACCAGCAGACACTGGACATTGCTACAAGACGACCACTGCAATAGACCCTATCGCTGCTACCTCGCTTCGATGTTAGGAACAAAGGAAAATAGCCGCATACAAAAAATTTACAATAGAAAGAATCTTTGGGAAGAAACATCTGAAAGAAAAATCAGTTCACTGATTCTTTTTTTTTATTCTGGTTCTTCAGTATAACTTGCATTGGCAGAAAGCAATAATGTAAGCAGAGACACATTGAAAAGCACATCTATTCTCACGTGTGCACATGCTGCTATGCCTATAGCAAGTGAAAAAGAAATATTTTCTGAGTTTTCCACAACAGTCACACAGAAGTCCTTCGGCAATAAAAAAAATCACAGTATTTGGCCCAATTTAGCTCATTTGGAGCTCAGTTTCTTCATGCTCATAATACTAATAAAAATTGGTTTAGGATAGTACATTCTTGCCTTGCAGAGAAAGCTGTCAATTTTTACACAAGTTGAAGTAGGAAAACAAAGTCCTTTATTTCTAGAAAAGTTAAAATGCCAAGTATTTGCTATTTCAAGTTTCCTGGTGACTGATATAATTACACTCTCAGTAACTACTGAATTCAATTTCACAGTGATATAAGAAGAGGAAAGATCTATTCAAGTATGTCCTTTTAAATATCTTTAAGAAAGACTTGACCATTTGAAATGCTTCAAGAATAAAATAAATTCCTAGTGGGAGCCCAAGAGTTCATTTAAGTCGATCTCTCAGCTAAAGGCAGGCAGCGGAAAGGATGAAACTGACTTCTTCTATCAGGAAAATAAATTATCAAATGTGAAAAAAGGCCATTAAGTTTCCACGTTCTTTTAACATATTTGTGATAGTCTACTTACTATGGGCTCACATCAACAGTTTTAGTAAGTGCTGCCAGAGATTCTGTCATGGTCTCCTTTCAAATTATTTACAACAATATTTAGCACCTTTATGGAATACTTCATTCTAACTCTATTTCATATTTCTTTCTGATTTTCCCTTAACTATACATTGACTAATTAGACTGCAAAAACATGGGTAAACACTGATGTATCAAGTAATCATAAAACCTTACCTTCTTATTACAGACTGAACTTTTAAAGTAACTGAACATCAAAAAAATCCCACTTTTTATAATTTGCTTTACAAAATGAGGATTAAAAACTCTTAATATCTCAAATGAGAAGGTAACTGCACATACAGCATGAAAACATATTAATGTAATACAGTCGCCTTTAAAGTACTTGAACAGGATTCACCACATGCTACAGAAATTTACAGTAATATATTAAAAAAATTAGCCAAGTGATTTTAAATGGTTAGTGATCACCCCTGAGAAATCAGGGATGACTGGTGTGGTCCTAAGAGACTGCAGAATGGCAAATACAGTCTCAAACTCAAAAAAAAAAAGAAGAGGCTAGTTGTCCTTTTCTTAGTCACACATAAAAACAGTGGAACAAATCAGTAAAGAGTAAACCTGGAAGTACTTAGATGTATGTTAGCAATTAAAAAACAAAACTCGTAAATATTACTGATTTGCCAAAGATAAATCACAGCAAATCAATTCATTTTCCAACCTAATGGTATAGCTGAGCTGATGTCTAGAATCAAAGCAGTATGTTCCAATACTTCAATTCCGTCAAATCTTTTAACAGTCTCCAATTAATTTCATAAGCTTGGGGAAAATGTGGAACACATTAAATTATTAAAGATGAGTATACCACTGCTGGGAAAATACCTTATACTCTAAAAATAGTACTTGCACAGCCTTCAAAATATTTTTGCCAAATGGGTAGAACATTTGAAGCATGTGTCAGGGCCCTGAGTGTATCATCATGCCCTGCAAGCTCTTCCCCACCACTTGAGGTTGGTGTAAAGCAATGGCAATCTGTATTACATAATATTTTCAATACCAACACAGAAGCTGGCATAGAGAGAGAGAACTGTTTATGAAAGAGAATAAATAGTTCGTATTTCATTTATGAAATTGGTTAATTTCTATTTATGAATAGATGAAACCTTTTGGGAGAAGCAGGCATCATCCAGCAAAATCCTACAGAAGTTTCAAGTACATCTTCATAAATTCAAGCTGTTAACAAGGACTTGAAATAGATGAGACCACATATAACTGTAAACTGTAGTTTTAATACATGCACATTAATAACAATTAGCATTTTATATTCCTTGCCATGTAGGTTAGGCCATTAGTGTTTTGTGTTAAGACTTTTTCCAAAGGTTATTGCATAACATAAAGAGAAACATCTGGTAGAAAATTACTGTATCCTTGCTAAGGGAATGCTAAACTAAAGGGAGATTATTTTATGAGGGGAAAAAACAACCTGGTAGCCTGGGAAGTATCACAGAAATGAAATAACAAAAGCTCTTTTTTTTCAGGGCTAACTAGCAAAGCGCATAGTTCTGTTCAAGCCAGCTAACAGTTCCAGTAATAGTTTAAGATATTTTTGAAGAACAAAGTCTTTCAACCATACCCATGTGGAGAAAACATGCCCATACCTCATCTTGGGGAGCCTGTACCCTACCTGTTAGATGGTGTCACAGAACAGCAACAACCAACTAAAAGAACACAACAGCCCCTGTGACCTCAGCAATAAAGTCGACAAAAATACTAGCCAAAGAATAAAGGAAATCTGTCTCTCTTTTAGAGAAAACTAATAATATTTTGCTCTCAAGAAATAAGATTTAGATAATACTTATGTGTACACCGCTTATCTACTACTGCAGATTTTAAAGGTGAGGTTTACATAGCCATGATGGATAACCAAACCATTAACTGAAGATTTTAATGGTAATGATGTTATATATGAATTGTTAATTTTTTAACATTTTACTGTGCTAGCAATGTAAAAAAAATATTTAAGGTATTTACATTTTCCACAGACACGTGCCCATAAAACCCGCAGTTGTTAATAAAGAATCAAAAAATGGGCCAAATACCTCAGTAGTACAAATGAATGCAAATTCAATGAAACAAAACAGAGATTTAATTTCACTATTAAAGAATGAGTTTGTTCCATGCATTGTAAAAGATGTCTAACTCACCTGATTACCAACTAAAAGAAGATGTTCTCCCAGCAGAAAGTCCTTTAGCATATCTTCCATTACCATCATGTGCTAGAAAAACAAAACCACAATTTTCACCCATTTTTATATTCTCAAGTTTATAAATTCACTAACGATAGTAGCACGACAGGAACTTTACTTTCAGGATTTGAGGCCAAAATTTTTCAAAGTTCATACTTACAGCTATTTATTTCATAGCAAGAATCTCTCAGCCAATAATAGCAGAAGCAATCTTTTTGGCAACTAAAACAATGAAGCAAAAATATTAACTCTCCTTATGCATTTCCTCTGTTCCAACTGATTGTGGTTGTCTGGTTTCCCTAACTATACTGAATTCTCTATAATGACTCCTAATGCATTTCCTTTTAGCCAAGTTGAATTCTTGTCACCCAGAGTGTAAGAACTTTCATTAAGAGCTGTATGACAATTTTCCAGCAATTGTACTGGAAGGAAGCAAAATGTATCCTGGAAGAACTTTACAGAAACCAAACAGAGGGAATAAAAAGCAGCTGATATGAATATGTAAATTATACACATTTATTTTATTAAAGGTTAAATGCCAGGTCTAGCTTAATAAATACACTTTCCTACTCTAATTAAACTTAAAATAAGGAGAGGAAAATGCAAGCTCAAATCTGAAAGTGTTTATTATATTTATTACAACTTCTAAATTCGACTGCCTAATTGAAGACAAAGTACTTGAGGTGTGTTTTATATATATCCAATATCATAAAAGGTAACACACACTGTACACCATTTAACCTTATCTTGCTTCTCACAAATTATTTGTTTAAAAGGATCAAAGGATTTAAGGATAATGTGGCAGTGCAGACTACTTTACTCACAATAGTCGTGTATGTTTCTCCACTCTATCTAGTAAAAATAGGTCATCTGTAAGTAGGTCAAACAACCTACTTAGAGAAACAAATGCTTGCCTTTAGATAAACATAAATATATTTCCACATTACCATCTCATCTCTAGTACCTGATTTAAGGAAAAAAAAATCAGCGGCTTGCCTGTAATTTCTAACTGTGTGAAAGATGTTTTAGGTTTCCAAATCTCTCCAGAACAGAGGCTGTGAGTAGGGGAAGAAACTCTTGTAAACACAGCTTAATACCATGAAATCCTAACCAGGCATGTCAAAAGACTACTGAATATTCAATACAAAATTTAAGGAGAGGAGTTTAATGCAAATTACTATATTTTCTGGCATATGTATGCACTGCAAATTTGATTCACAAGAATAACTTTGACCAGATACAAGATAACTTCTAAGAAGTCAGTTTTTACCACACACACTGATTACATTTTTTATTTCATTGTTAAGGCATGAACACTTCCTTCCGATGACTTCACTTTTTATCTTTGATTGCACAAACATGTGTACATTACAGCTCTCCTGCAGAAGAGCTTTCCCACAAGCGATATATTATGTATTGGTACTTTTTTTTTTTTTGCACAGGACCTAAATTACAATTGTAATAGGATGCATGCAGGTATTTCAGATTAATTATTTACACAATGGACTTGTAAGTAGACACATCAATATTGTGTCACCTTTATCAGTCCATGTTCCCCAAAGCCTGACCTGAAAGTGGCATTTGGCATATCACCTCCATCCCTGTGACACTTCTTGTGGACCAACAGCAATGTCTCATGGCAATGCCAAATTCCACTGGAACATGAAACGTTTCAACACCAAACACACAGAGGCCAAACCTATGTATTTCATTATATCATGCAGCACTGCGAAGGGCTGAAGATATATTTTCTTCTCTGTAGTTTTTAGATACTGGAGAAGAAGTATTGCACTAGACTAATAAATCAAATTTGTTCTCCAGTAGGTTTTGTTAAACGATCATTACAGCACTTGAATGACCAAACTACAAACTAGCAATACAGAAGATAAGAGCAGAATTCATTTAGAAATGGGAACAGCTGTCCTGACTGGTATTTGGCTGCTGTTTCCTTCAGCATTCAGAGTGCACAGCTACCAGGGACAGACAGAGCAGTTTGTTCTCTGCAGCGTTTTTTACTGACACTGCCTCAATAAAAGAGATGTATAACATCCGAACACAGGTTGTGCAGAGTTTTCTGACGATATAAGCAAGAAGGTTCAAAAAGCAATGAAGACGTACGTCCTAGCAAGACTCAGGATTTCATTTCCAACACACCCAAATTAAGTACTTCACTGAAATGGCAACACCGAACAAAATCTCACATGAAATGTTAGTGGGAAAGATGAAGAAGACTGTCATCTGTTCCCCTTGCACTGCCTATCAGCACCTTCAGTGGGTGATATCCACAGAGCACAGTCTTTCTGTGCAGAAATTGCAAGCAAGGGAGGAAAAACAAACAGGAAAGGAAAAGTAAACAAACCCATACCACGCCCCTATAAGAAAAATATTTCACACGATCACAATATCAGTGTTGCCATTCGTGGCAAAACATTCTCAAGGTAACTCAGAGGGTAATTCTCTTGCTAAGGACGCCCTTGTCTGACAGTTTTGAGGTTTCCATGTTAGATGGAGAAGAAAGCTGCCGTTCACTCACCTCCACAAAAGGGGTGCAGGGAAACAAAACCAAAAAAAAGCCAGTCACCAAGCCCTTCCCTTTTGTTGTGTTCACTAATTACTCTTACTCTTCACTACTACGAACTAATTAACACAAATAACACTAATGAATAATTAATAAGCTAAACTAATTAAATGAACTATTAATAACCAATTAACTAATAACTAATTAACTAATTACTAATTTCCTTGCTTTTCAAACATGCAGTGGTAATTCTAATAAAAGGCAGGTACAACTTCATGCCACGAGCCTGTAAAACACGGTGTCAGGATGGAAGCAATAACCCAGTCCTAAGAGTGAATCAGTCCAGGAGGAAAAGAATAAATAAATAAATAAATAAATAAATCACTCAACACAATCAAATTGAGCAAATAATTCTAAATAAAATTCCATTTCAGTTGCTATTGCTTCATCTTTTGTGAATGCTCAACAAGATTGTTACAATCTCTTCATGAGGGCATGGTGAAGACACATGTGAAATGAGCATCAAAGCCTGTAAGAAAAAAACTCAGCCTAAAGAAACTACTTTGGAAATACACCCCTAAAATTTAGTTAGTATTTAATATATATGAGCATGCACATTAGTGCACATTTAGCAAACTTTCTGTACATCAGAAGCCAGAGAATTGTACTTACTTGTGCGTTTTCATAAAACAAAACATCAGGCACTTTCATTTTCTCGGTTGAGTTATAAATTGGCATCGTCACAGACCCTATCTTCAGAATCCCATCATTTATTTCACCTAGACATTTTCCAGGAAACAAGCAAATACATCACTTACAGCAACCTCTGAGCAGACATACAATCAATCTCCAACACTTGCAGGTGATGTTTTACAAATTTTAACAAGGCCTTGGGTTGCAGCAAATGATTTCTTACTAGATAAAAAAAAGAATGCTTGAAAGAGTATCTGTTAACAAGACGTTGCATTATCATGAATTTTAATTCTTCTTAAAATTGCAAAGAAGTTTATTACAATAAATGGTGAACAGGTGATCTCATGGGAAAAGCACCATAAGAAACACTACAACTTGTGATTGCTGCCTTGGTTTAACTTCATACTCTCATTGTATTATTGGAATATCACTAACACCGTTAGGCTGTATTTTCTGAACCCACCCGTTTTCTCACTCTCATTCTCCGCGTTTTCTCTCTCTCCTCCAATGGGGAATGAGGTGCGGAGGGGAGTGAGCGAGTGGCTGGGTGGGTGCTCGGCTGAGAGCTGGAGCCAACCCACTGCAACACTACAGAGTAGACACCTTTAACATTTTGGTGAAAACTGGCTACATTTGCACTCACTGAAATAACCTTCAACTTTTCTAAGAGAAAGGTACATTAGAAAAATTTCTTAGCTCAGGAGAACCATAAATTATGTCCTTAGGAAAATAACAACTAAGTGCGAAAAATAATATTGTGCAATAAAAACAGTACTGATTTCTTGCCACCAATTTCTTAATCTGGTATGATGTAAACTGAAAACAACCTAATTTGTAGAGAAACGCTTTTAGTTGTTCACCTGTTATTCTATATAATTTTATCTTTATGGCATGAAACAAAGGAACAAAGAAAATTCAAGGGTTGTGTCCAGATGAAAAAAAAAAGAATGGTAAAGAGGTAAGGTTGAGCATCACTCAACTGGCAAGATTTCAAATTATTTTATATATACAGAATATGCAAATACAGATATAATAAATATACATAAATATGCAACTACAGATATAATAATACATAGATGGCTGTATACGTATGTGTGTGTGTATGTTGTCCTGGTTTGAGCTAAATAGAACTAATTTTCTATTTAGTGATTTTACTTTTCAGCTCGGTCTCTTTTAAGTGGCTGAACTTGCTGAAAACTGGCAGCATGTTTTTCCCAAACAGCGCTCCTAGAAGATATGCTCAAGGTCAGTTGTCTCATCATGGGTGCCGTGTCTGTGCCTACGGAGGAGAAGCGGACCCAAAACGGACCAACGAGGTATTCCATCCCACATATGTCATACTCGGTATAAAACCGAGAGATCACGAGTGTCTCAAATCCCTTTCTTCCATCTTGGAGTCGGTATAAAACCGAGAGATCACAAGTGTCTCAAATCCCTTTCTTCCATCTTGGAGTCGGTATAAAACCGAGAGATCACGAGTGTCTCAAATCCCTTTCTTCCATCTTGGAGCCTTTCCATCTCGGACCTTTCCATCCATCTCAATTCTGCAGAGGCCAAGGTCTGAGCAGAACCCTGCTGGTTCATCTGCCTCTGATCCTGATTTGTGTGTCCTGCATTCTGCTCCAACCTGCTGCTGAGCTCAGTCTGGGACTTTTCCAGTGCCCTGCTCTGCAGAGCTTCTGGTGATGTATTCTTCATTGGGAGGAGGGTGGGGGAAGGATTTTGAATTGGTTTTGTATATATTTGTACATATTTGTATATATTTCAGTATTTTCCTATTTACATTATTATCCTGTAGTATTAGTGTTTCATTAAATCTGTTTTATTTTCCAACCCGTAAAGTCTCTCTCCCTTATTCTCTTTTCTCTTCCCTTCTGGGGAGGGGAGAGGGGTTAATAGAGAGCGTCTGTCCAGGATTTAGTGGCTGGGGGGGGCGCGAACCACGACAGTAGGTACACATGTACATATGTGTGTATGTTACATACATATGGCTGCATGTATATATTATACTGTATATAATACATTAATATATCTGTATTTACATATATGCTTATATATACACACACTTAAATCTATAAAAATAAAATATACATGTTAACTATAACAAAAGATATGTTTGTTACTGCAAACATCTAACATTAAAAACACAGAAGTCAAATACCTCACAAAACTGAGAATGAACACAGAGAAGAATGACAGCAAAGTTAACACTGCTGAAGTGGAGTAAAGGAAAAGTTTAGTGAATGGAAAATGGCAAACTGCTCAAAGTGACAGAAGATACAAAAAGATATAAAGCCAGCATGAAGAGCAGAGGTCAGGCAGGAATGAGAAAGCAGAAGTGAGAAAAATGGCAGAAGCAGAAATATATGCGTAGCACTGAAGGCTACTGCAAATGAGTACAGGTTGGATGATGTGAAGAAACTAAGACCTGCTCGATATAAGTGACATGTAACAACCACAGCAATTTAAAGAGAATAAAAAGAAGGGAAACTAACTCAGAATTGCATGTCAGAATGAAAACAAAACATAACCCAAGACTTGTACAAGTCCCAGTGAGAAAAACATTATTTAAGAGTGGAAAGAAAGAAGTGATGGTAAAAACCAGAACAGAGTAATATTAAGATCAAACCAAGGTTGTAAATATACATAAAAGTAGTTTTCAGTGATGGGGGGTGGGGATGGGGGCAGGGAGCAGAAAAGAAGTCCAAGAAAGCCTGAGGTCATGGATCTCATGGACTGAGAAATGCTTAAACATGACGGAGAACAAAGATCCATGGCTGGGAATCCATCAGCCCACACAAAAGTATCAACATAGGGAGAGCAGCACTGCATTCTGATAGAACAAAGTCAAAGGGATATAACTGGAGCAAACTATATTTAATTTTGAGGCTAATTAATACACCTGTATATGCTCAACCATCTGCATAACATTCATAAGAGTAGGACAAAAGATGGCAGAAAGCTTACACGTGTAATCCTTTTCCTCAAGTTTCTTCATGTCATCTGGACTTGTTTCAATACCAGAATCCTGCAGATTTTTATGTAATGCTGATCTGGCAAGGTTTGGTAAAAACCTAAATGAAGAAAAATAACAGGGATGTTGTATTTTAAGGATTTTTTTTAAGTTTTCAGTATCTTATGTAATCTAAAGTCAGTATGAGCTTTAATTGGACCTCCAAAACCTGAATGTCCATTCCTTTCACCCTAAAATAGTCTTCAACATTTCACTTACCCCTAAAGAGAGAAACTGAGCTTTCATAGGTAATGAACTACATCTGTGGCTGCATGCACATTTTAAAAGGCTTCAGTGTTACTGAATATTGCAACAGAGTTGTAATGTAGGATGGATTAGGAGTTGAAGTATGTAATGTCCTCATTACAGTAAGAGCTACAACAGAAACAATGTTTTCTTGGAAATACCTTTTCTTTTGACTCAGTTCTCTTGGACCTCAGGTTCCAAGGAGAAAGAGTGAGCTTTGAGGTGTCTAGAACTAGGCCCTTTCAGTTTTCCAAACCCTTTAACAATTACAATTTGCTTTCTTTTGAAACAAACAGACAAACAAACCCCTTGATGTTCATAACTTTTCTAGATATAGCTTTTAGAACTGAAGCCTCCACCAAACATCTAGTCATACCAGACATGAATATAACTCTGCTTTGAGTGTTTTGAGACAGTGAAGTAATGACAAGAATGGTGGCCTAACTTACATAATGTCATGAAGTATCTTCATAAAGATGAGAAAAGAGTACAAAGTCATCTATACTTACCTCCTAGGTTTGAGAATACCACAGAAATACTTCTCAAGAAATTACAGACTTTAATATTATCTACTTTTTATTATCCACTGAAACACATTAAAAGCTATCTCACATGTTAGCAACTGACCAAGAAGCTCTTGAACTTCCACCAAAACTAGCACTTCTACCTGGAAAGGCAGGCTTTATTAACAGCATAGTAGAGGCTTTCATCTGGATGTTGTGACAGCCGACGACAAATTCGCAATAGTTGTCGAGTAGATAGAGACGAAGCCAGTGACTGTGCCTGTCAAAAAATACAAGGTAGTTTAATTATTTGATCTCTTGGACTGGATCTCGGTGATTTAAACCAAACAAGTCAAGAGAAAAAAGTAATCCAAAAGGAACTGTTTTTAGTTTTCTCCTAATTCATAGGTCCTTTCTGCCTCCTGCAGCAGCTTCTGCTTTTTAATCTGCAAGCTTGTACTTCTCTATTCGTGGCGGTAATTCACTGCCATGGAAATCATGATGTCATCAAAAGATTAGCCTTATGATTTCACTTGATAAGCAACAGGAAGAAAAATGTGCTGATAACTGAATTTTACTCACTGTATAAAACCCCACACTAAACAATATTAAGAATAACAAGAAGGTTAGCCACTGTAAAAGGATCAATGTCATAAAAATTTCTCTGCTCTTCACAAACAGAACATGAGCTCCACATGCTCTGGCAAAAGGGTCTGGCAGGATTCTTGGACATATAAACAAGACAACACTGGGCAGCAGTAAGGAGATTGTATCACCTCTGCACACGCCTTCTAGGCGGGCCATTACTGGAACACTGTGTCCTTTTCTGTTGTCCACATGTTAAAATAAATGCTAAAAACTGGACACGATTCAGCAAAGAGTTACAAGAATGATTCAATGCCTGGGAAGGCAGACCTCAAACAAATACAGCTTATTTAAAAAAAACCACCACGAACAAATATCCAAAACCCAAAACAAGTGACGATGTATTTAATGAGAGATATAAAGACTGAGAAAGAAATCATTCTATAATTGTATCTACCGGATGAAGGTATCTAATACAAATAGGTTCCTTATTTTTAGCAGGAAACACACAACAATGAGCGCGATATGGTAAGTCACGCCATGCTTTGCCTGGGTCAAGTGAAATACTTTAATTAGGTAATTTCAAAACGTTTTGTTTTGGGTCATATAAATGACTTCTAACTGCATTGAAATTATCTTAATATATTATGTTGAAAACAACCCTGAAATTTGAAGTCCAGGAAAAAAATAGGAGAAAAACAACACTTCATTATTTTTTTTCCCCTTGTTAATAATTTTTAAGCACGAGAAAAATGTCTTAACACCAATTCTTCCCCCTGGGAAACCGCAGCTATGAGAAACAGGCATTAGTATTTAAAAAAAAAAAGTTCTATGAAATTATACAAAACTTTTCTCAAATGGTAGAAAGCAAAGGATAGTACTTTGTAGCATAGCTCCGAGCAACGAGCAAGTATGATTTAGATTGGGTTAACTGCAAAGATTACTAATCTTGCTTCTGATTTCATTGATGGAAGACTGTGAAGCATCTTCTGAACCATCACAGTTTACCACCCAGCGTTATGGACACTGTGATGTAAATGATGGCATTTCAGTGTCATTTCAAGGCCTACTCAGCCATGTGTGAAGCACAGAGCAAGGGAGATGGGCGAGTGCTGTATCTTTGTTATCCCTGCTCAGTAGCCAAAACCCTTGCTGCCTTTGGAGATTATATTCTCTTTCCAAAAGTATCTTAAACAGCTAAAAGGTTCCTAAGTAGAGTAAGTTTTGGCAGGTAAGCAATCCTCCTAAGTCACAACCTATGAGACTGCACTGACGGAGAACGGCAGCTGGGCACAGCAAATGAGGTAGTGTATTTCATACACTGTACCACCTTGACAAGTCCAGTCTCTCAGGACATGGCATTTTAAAATATAAATTATACATAGCATCAGATTCTGCACTGAAATAAATGAGCATTGAGAACAGGACCACAGAGAAAAACCTGTATCACATCCTCTGAGTATTTGCAAGTGGCAGCTGAAGCTTTGGTAATAAAATTACCTCTTTTCTCTTACCTGCTTTTTAAAATATTTTATATTGAACAATCATAACTCAAAATTGGGTTAGTGACAGTCTTTGTAAAATATATCTATGAGGCATCTAATTCAACAGGATTTTGATTGTGGTCTCTAGATTCTATTATAAATCAAGCAAACGATTACAGTGACGCAGACAACACCCACAGGCTGAACAGTCTACAGGTATTCTTCTATTGTTAACAAAATCACTTTAAACAATGGTTAATATTTCAGGATAATCTCTGGCAGAGGCTTACTTAGGCTACTCTATAAATAGCCTGACATACCTAAGGCACACATTTCATCTCTCCACACAGGCGTGCTATTCCCAACATGTCTCATGTCACTGTTGATCTGCAAGAATCCTCCCTCAATCCGTACCATGACTCACTTCTCATCCAATACCATATACTCCATTTAGATATTTCACAATGCTACAGACATCCACATATTTGGAAAGGATTTTTATAAATCCTTTCAGGCATCGTATGTCTCCAAGTATGTCAAAACCAATATATTTATATATGAGGTGTAGGAAGCTAAATAGAGAATAATAACAATACTGTCCCAAAAGTGTACCTAAATGTCAATCTTTTTACTTATTTTTTTTAAGTTCAGAAGAGCATAACAGCCTCTCTGAGTTTCTTAAATAGTAATATTGTAAAGACTATTACCCATGTTAAAATCACAAAAACTAAGGAGAAAAGATTACATTTGTGTACCAGTTAAACTGCTGGATTCCATTAAAAATGTTTTACATTTTAGTTACATTAAAAACACCCAGTGCTTTAGTTGCCATAGCAATATTTTCTCTTTCTTTTTTGTGGTTACTATGTCAGCACAACTTATTTTTCTTGACAAGACTTCTTTAACAGAATAGCCTATAGCGGTAATGCAGCCAGGAGTTCTGGAGCTTTCCCGTTTCTTAGTCTTTGCTGTTGCTCATTGGCATTTTATAATGGCTAAGTCACTCCCACTACCCAAAAATTCCCAATAATTTCAGCTATCAAAGTTCCAACGACTAAAGTGAAGTAATCAAAAAATATCTGGACACACATGATTATATCCATACCTATTGAAAAGGTACCTCAAGTATGTTTCACTGTGAGCCATGTATCTAGCATGTGTACTGTTCTGCCTAACTTCTCTGGGATTCCAGCAATTTCCTAAAAGCTTTATTTATGCAGATTCCAAAAATGTACATCATTAATCAAAAAAGTTTCCAGTATACGGTGCAGTAATTGCCAGCAATAATTATCTGGGTCTGGTTTTCCAATCAGGCTGCTTTTGGAATAACACTATAGCTTAGCATGCCTCACTCAGCTGTTGTTAAAACAAACAGTCGCAGTAGGAGAAAGTAAAATTTAAAAAAAAAATAAATGAAAAAACAAAGGGCTCACCGTGGTGTCATTCATCTCCCGAAGCTTGTGCGTTAATGACAACAACTGCTTCACAGCAACATTGGGTACGTTCGGAATCTGCTTGAAAGAAAAGCAGTATTAATCTTACTGCAAGATACGCAAGTTCCATACACAGCTACACCCAGATGCAATGAGCATACAGTTGCTGCAGGTGCTTTATGTCAACCAAAAATGAAATACAGTCATTTTTCTATTACAGTTATCATTAAATGTCTCATAAGAATGCCAATTGATATCAATAACATTAAAAGATAAGCTGCTCTGATAGGTTCTGAAAATGAAGGCTCATTTATGCTACTCTGACATAGGGAGTGGAATGGCCAAATATTTTTTATGTAGTAAATAATCATGTTCAGTCAATGGTCAATAAAATACTGAACGTACTTACCATTTCTTTAATAACTTGAGTTTCTTCACTCTTGCTTAAAGATCGAACATGATGAAAAAGAAACAGTGTCAGAAACTCTGGACCCAGCCACTGTTGGGTACTACTTCCAATGACAGGAGGTTCAGCTAAGACCACTATTCTGAAAGAGGGGTGGATAGGAAAAATAGACCTGCAAAAAAAAAAGTTTAAAAAAAATGCATTTCCTGGTTTATGCAGCTAATATCAAATTTTATTTTTACAATAGAAGAAAAAAAAGAATGAAAGTATTGTACTGAGCCATATTGCAGACTATTCAGATCATTAGCAATGAACTTTCATTTAGAAAAAGACAGACCACACAATTTCATACATTTAACAAATTTTCTATGCTCAGAAGGATACCCAAGTCTCCTCATCTGCAATAGGATCTGCATACCTCAAGATGAGCAAATACCAGCAACTAAGCTACTGTCTACTTCTCTGTATGTCTGAAATGGACACATCTCACTCATCTGACAGACTTTTACAAGTGCTTTACCTAAAGCAGGATGTCCCACAAGGAGAGAACAAGATCTGTCAGAGCAACAGTAATGAGTAACTTCCTTTACTCAGACTGATGAAAAGGATGACATTGTAGCCACGTTGACACATGGTCAAGATACCATGAAGAGCTGGATTTAGTAAGAGTTTAGGAACAGTTCCCTTACTCCTGCTCTTTCAGGCCCTTGGAAAATCACCTAGACTCTTGCGGTGGGACTAATACACCTAACTTCACAATAGCCCCAAAAGTTACACTACAAAGGCCAAACCAATCACCTCACCTTTGGCTCATTTTAGAGTCAGCTTAGGGAGACAAGTTCCTCCAATGGCAGATAAAGACTTAAAAGAACTTAAGAAAAGCCCTACTGCATCATTCAATCTACCCACTTTGGTACATGTTCTGTCTCCGATTACGACAGCTGGAGATGCTCCTTGGAGAAAGCACCTAAGCCTTGCCACAACCAGTAGCTCTCCTCATACTCTCCCAACAGCCACAACCATATCTTCAAGGACATTACAGCGTAGATCCCTATTTGTTTTAATGTCCATTTACCCACAAATGTGTCTAATCACTTTCTGAACTTCATCCTATCTGTCTCCACAACTCCCTGTGGCAACTCATGCACTGTTTATGGTTGTAAAAGGTACTTTCATTATTATTATTATTATTATTATTATTATTATTATTATTATTAAAATCTTTATGGAACTGGCCTGCTAGCTTCAGTCAGTGTCCCCTAATTCATATTGTAGAATTTGGTGACTAACAGTCTCTTAGACACCTGCCTGTTTGATTCCACTGAAGAAAATGGGACCTTACTGGGATCAACAAAAAGTTGAATACACAACTTTTAGATGCATATGTTAGGGCAGTAGAAGATCACTGCCTCAGCTTTTGGTATCTTTGCCTTCTTCATATCTTTCATCTCCCTTATCTGTGTAATATTATCAGCTTCACTGGTACTCATCAATCAATGCAACTGCATGATCTCTAGAAGCAGCAGAAATAATAGAGAGTAACAAGTCAGATACAAAAGCCCGTCCAAATCTACAAGGAGGGCCCATTTTCAACAATTAATTTCACAGTTCTCTTATTAAAATAGGGAATGTTAATTTGGAAAAAGCAGGTGAAATTTAATTAGACAGGTTATATTGCTAGATATGCCTGTTATCATGTCATTTTCCACAGAAATTTCTACATGTGAAATCAAACACTGGGAGGCAAGTATTCCTCCTGGTTAAACTGAGGGGGAAAACTCATAAACAAGAAAATTTGAAGACAAACTATGACCAGTGAACATAAATTAACAAATCTACCACATAGCTGGATCATCTGTTCATCACAACAATAAATCTGTGATACAACAGAATGATTACAGCAAACAGTATCTTCTACCAAAGCAAACACAGGGGGGTAGCATGAGTTATTCTCAGCTGAAAGTCATACGCCTAGAAGCTACTCCCTGATTGATAAAAATAGAAACAGATGTCCAAAAACATCACATGAAAGAGGAACCAATGGGAATGTCACTGTCACTAAGCATAAAAGAAGGTCAGGGAACATTAGCCAACCTTATTATAGAAGAACACATTTCCTAGATAGGATAAATACATATACTACCAGACTCAACTCCCTACCCCCCTACCCATCACTAAGAAGAAAAACAACCCTCCTCCAGAAATGCACCAAATTCAAAGGACCAGTTCTGGTCCTTCTCCAATACATAAAAAAAAAAACAACAAAAAGAAGTAATCAGCTTTCTCCAGTAAAGGGAACACATTTCTCTTGTACCACCTCCACATCACTGCCTGACTCCAAGGGCACAGTGGAGACAGCCAGGGAGGACATGGGGAGAAGCGAAAGGAGAGGAGGTGCAGAGTCAGGGCACGTTAACTTGGTGCTATCGGTTCAAGTCACTGACATACTCTCTAGACCTGGACCTTTCACAGCATCACTGCTGTAGGTTTCCAGTTTGTAAACATGAAGAAAACTATCTGGCTACTTCAAAAGCCTATTGTTTGGACTGATGTTTGCAATGTTGAAAATGTCAAGCTAAGCGTATTATTAAAACAAATGCCACAAGTTGCTCAATCCTGCAGTGCTCTGAAAGTTCCCAGCTTCCAACAGCGCAACTGAAGAGCTTCAAACTCGTTCCATCGTATTACAGATCAAGTCAGTAAAGCAATATATAATGGACCTCCTATACAGAGCTGTATTTTATAAAAAAGAAATCCTTGACATCTTGTGTTCTTCGCAGATGAAGGCCAAGTAAGAGTATCTTGTTAAAAGCCTGACACCTTTTTAAATTAATGAGCCTAAAATGCAGTGGGAAGATTTGGTGTTAGTTGATTAATACAAAAAATCTCTATCTAACGTTTACTGACAACACAGATTGCAGAGCACTATCCTAATACTATGCATGTCCCTCTTGTGACATCAGTGTTTAATTCCAACCAAGGCTTAACTCCACTGCTCTTGAGAGGAAGATCAGAACACTCAGGGTGATTTTAG